AGTAAATTCTTATAATAAGGGTGATTATCTAAAGTATTTTGTGATTTGATAAAAAATTGAAAAGTTAATGTTTCATATCAAAAAAATAGTAAAAAGATTGTTCTAAAACAAGGTTTTAACTTTTGAGTGTAAAACGCAACCTCCTCACACTTGAGCTAGACCTCGCCCTCGAGGTCTTCTTTTAAGGCACAAAACCTTGAAATAAAGACACACATTTTTTTTTTTGGTTCTTTCCTCACACTTGAGTTTTGAAAAGATTTTGTGAAGAGGAATAATGAAACAGGAATAAAAATCATTACATCATTCATAGTCAGTTTGTAAGACCCCATTTAAGTCAAAAGAGCAGCACAATGTCCAACCTAAATAAACAAATAAACACAATAAAATGTTAAGGAAGAAAACTAAGCATCACCCGTGTCCTCCCGTAAGGCCTAAGCCAAACTCTTATTTCATCAACATTGAAGCACACCCTGCAAACACACAAAACAAACAAACAATGTTATGAAAAACATGGGTTGCCTCCCAAGAAGCGCTTCTTTAACGTCACTAGCTTGACGTTTGAGAGAGAACTCTCAGCTATGCATGTCAATTGTGGGGCACTCATCATTAGTGCTTCCACCTTATCCTCCAGGTATGCCGTTAGATGGCGTAGACCCTCGAACTCTCGTGACCACCAAAATGTGATATAATCTTCAAAGAACACATCGTTCGAACAAGGAATTAGCACATATCCTGCATCACTCTCATTAGTATAATCAACAAGTATTTCAGGATCAGGTGCCTCTGGTGTCTCCAACCGCTCATAATGAGCCTTCAAGGTAGAAGCAGCTTGAATAGAGATTGCATACTCCTCTTGATGGGTTTTCTCTTCTTCATCTATGCCCTCAACATGAAAATCACAAAGTTTAGACTCTGTGTCACTTTCTAAGAATGCATCCCAACTTCCTAACTCACTACCCCCACAAATATCATCTAGGCAAACAGATCTTTGCCTAGCACAACTATGCTCATCATGCTCAAGTAGAGAATCAAAAAAGGCATCATCGGACATTGTTTCCTTCACATCACAAGTGTCATTAACTATTTCAACAGGTGCTTGGGCTTGTGTAGGATCAAAATCTTCACCAAGGCTATCTTTGTGGCACTCCTTAAATGAGAGGTCAACCATAGATGGTAGGGTAGGTTCCTTGTCACAAAGTATCTCATCATCTATGGTTTCTTCATCAACCTCATTGGGCACTTTCATATGGGGCTCTTGAGAATTAAGTTCTACGAGGATAGGCTCTCTCTCAATAGCAATGAGAGGCTCAAAAGAAATAGGGGTGAGAAGAGTTTCAACCATCTCGCCCATGGTTACCGCAACCTCCTCCTCAGATTTAGCACCTTCCTCGTATGTCTCCTGTTGAACTTTGTGGTCATTGTCATAAATGATTTTTTCAAACAATTCCTTGATACTCTCATCCTGAGATGCTAGTTCAATCCTTGTCTTTCTTAAGTCTTCCACAAAATCGAGTAAGGACGATTTTAACTCTTCGAGTTCGTGTTGGGGATAAGGTGAAATTCCAGAGTTACCCTCGTAGGAGTACTCGTTTGTGCTGGTGTAATGATTTTCTAGCCTTTCTTGGTAATTTTCATGATAATTAGAATCATCATGATAATTACCTTGATAGGAGAAATCATCACAGCCTTCAAAGTCTTGCCCTTGGTGGAAATAATTATCTTGAAATTGGTAATCTCCATACCCCAAAGGTGGATTTTCGCACCATTGATTGTTATCCTCATAACCTTGTCCATAGTATCCTTCATTTTGATTATTTTGAAAAGATTGTTGTTCATAGTATGGATAGTGATATGGTGGTTGAGAATTAAAGTGTTCACTTGAGTAATCCATGAGGAAATCTCAAGCAAACACGTGAGAACAAAACAAAAAAGAAAAAGAAAGTCTCCCTAACTTGAATTCGCCCATGCTAAAATCAAAATCAAGAAATCACCGTGCCATTCCCCGGCAACGGCGCCATTTGATAACCGCTTTCGCGGCGTTGTAGTAAAACGGAGTCTAACCTTTCGGTTTTTCCCCGAGTATCGTGTCTCTCGAGGAATGGCGGAGGAGCTTCTTGATTTTAAGTCCAGTCACAGGTTATCGCAAATTATTGGAAGCTTTCCAAATTAAAACTTTTGATTGATTTTCTAAACTACTTTTTGGAAAAGAAAGTAAATTTAATTGTGCAAATACTAATGATGGCTCAAAAATAGACTAAAGGAAAAAATATAATATTAAACTTAAATGGATTGGTGCAAATAAGGGCAATGAATTGAGTAATTAGAAATGGATATATTCTTGGATCTAGTAATTAGGGAAATTAAAACTAAAATTGGACTAATAATTTCTTTCCTCATAGACAAGAATAGAAACTATCTTCATTAATTTATCCTATTTCTAGGTGTCATTAATGTGTTCAAAAATGGTTGGCTTAAATTATTTTCTAAACCCATAGACAAGGTAGAAATAATTCTCCAATATTTTAATTAATAAAAATAGCCAAATTCATTAACTAGTTAAACTCTTTATTTTAGCAATTGAATTTATCTCTCATAGACAAGATGTAAATCCCTTTCATTAAATTATCCTATTTCTAGGCCTTATTAATGTGCTCAAATATGGTTGGCTCAAATTAATTTCTAATCTCATAGACAAGTTAGAATTAATTTTCCAAGAATTTAATTAATGAAAATGGCTAACTATTATTAATTACTATTTCATCGTTTCAAACAACTAGTCCAATTTATTAATCTTAACCCCTAATTTTAGGTCAACAAGTCAATCCATATTCCTTTTCTCAATTCATGCCCTAACAAATTTAGCTACTCATCATCATTTTTGCAATTAACAATACAATGAATAAATTCAACATTAACAAGGAATTAAACATGTATGATAGCAAAAATTAAACAAAAATTATATTCTGGAACAATAAACTTGTAAGAACTAAAATATAACCTTCTGGAATTTTTCCCGAATTTTATAACCTAAAATCCAATTTTAACAACTAATTGATAATTTTCCCAATATTAACTAGAAAATACAAAAAGCAACTAAAATTATTTTAATTTCGTTCTAAATTTTATATTGAATACTAGGAGTGATATTACTGTTAATTTAACTGGAATTAGGACAGAAACTAATTTTTTTTCCTTTTTTGAGTATTTAATTTAATTTATGCAATAATAACAACTAAATGCCGGAATTAATTAAAATTTACTTCTACTTCGTAAAAATTAACTTTGTTTTGATAAATAACTACCTTGAGGCTAGTAAACAACTATATAATTAATTGGAATGGATTTAATGTCAACAACTATTTTATTCAAATTTAAGACGAAAATGCGAAATAGTTGAATAATTTTCTGGAAATTTTAGAAGCACAGATAGAAAAAACTAAGTACAGATTCAGATTCTACTCATTGAAAGGATGAAAATACATATAAAGAACTCACAATTTGGAGCTAAAATGAGAAAGATATGAAAGATTGAAGTTGAAGGTGCAACAATGGTGGAAATCCGAGCCTTGAGGAGGAAGAAGACGCCCTTTTTGATCTGATTTGGGCTTGAAATTGGTGTGTTTGAGTTGAGGAAAAATCGGGCAATTTATAGCAGAAATTTCCCCGAAGGCGGCCAAACAGGCGGCCGCCTTCCGCCTCTCTCCGGCCGCCTGCCGTCCTCGTCGCCGACAGCGGTCGGTGGCCGGTCCCCGTCAGCCGTAGGCGGCCACAGAGGGCGGCCGCCTTCCGCCACACGTCGGCCGCCTGCCGTCTTTTCATGGTCAAATCGGATCCCGGCGGATCCCGGCCGCCGCAGGCGGTCCAGCAGGCGGCCGCCTGCCGTCCTGTCTGGCCGCCTGCCGTCCTGTCTGGCCGACCGGTGGTTGGTTTCGTCCCCTTGTGCCGCAGGCGGCCACCGTAGGCGGCCGCCTTCTGTCCAGTGTCGGTAGCCTTCGGTCTTTTCCTGGTCCCGAGTCAAAGCGAGGTTGACTTCTGATTTTTCCCGTAGGCGGCCGCGAAGGCCTCCATTTTGGGCGCCTATTTGGGCGCCTTCTGCTATTTTTGTCTGGCAGATGCGGCTTTTCCTGCTCTTCATTTTTGTCTTCTGAATCACCTTGATAAAATGCTTGCTTCTTCCGGTATAAATGCATTTGTCACTCAAATTGACTCATTTTGTGCTCAATTGACCCGAAATCCCGCTAAACATATTATGGATGTGATTTTTACCTGATTTCATGAAACTTGAACCAAAATATATAAAATGTGTCTTTTCTTTCTATTTTCATTCAAAAATCGCTTAAATTTGATAAGAAAAATAAGTTCAAAAATGGACTTATCAGTGATTTCCTTTTAGCTCCTAGTGGTGATCTTCGAAACATGGATCGGATGATAACCGGCTAGCAAACCTAGGCGGCGGTAACAAAAGAAAAAGAAAAGACAAAACTGATGTCCTGATGGGGATGGATCATGAAGCCGTGTAGGAGACTGCCCACAAACGTCGTTGCCCAATGACCTTGGCCGACCCCATGCATGGGTCGTGGAGAACGTTGGCTGCCCGGCAAACGATATATGGGGCTGACTTTCCTCTTGAATGATTTCATTCTACCGTCCATGACTATTAAAGATGCCGAGGAGGGAACTTTCCTCTCTGCCCCGAAGGTAATTGTAGAGATATTAAAATATTTAGTTCATTATTATGATATTTGTCCTGATCATAATCTGATTTCCTCCTAATCATAATCTGATTTCCTAGAATCAAGTAGGAGATTTGTATTAATTAGAAGATCCTGCACATAATTATTCTTTCCTTTATTAAGTTAGCCTAGGCCTATAAATTGTGTCACGCCCCGGACCTACCGGACACGTCAACAACCCGCCGTACAGTACGAATAGTCAACCGCAGTCCAACTCATCCATACCATACAAGGCGTCTTGAATACCATTCACAATAGTACATCCATAAACAATCATAATGTGAAATAATTAATTAAAGCAGCGGAAACATTTAATAAAGTGTTTATGCCACACTTTGGCGAACATGGGCATACAAGCCCTCAAATAATTATTCAAAAATAATATCCATGAGCATTAATGTAATTGTTTTAAAAACAGAAACGGAGGAAGCACGAACCACGTCTTCCCTCCTGGATCCTCCCTTGAAGCAACGAGTATTTGTAGCGAGCTCAACTCCTACCTGAAACTGTGAGGTGGCCTCCCCCGTGAAGGGGAGGTCAGTACTTGGAAGCATTTGACAAGTACAATGACAACTATACTAAGTATAATCAAAGTTTCAATTTCCAAGACCCTCACATAGGGTGATAATATAATATAGGTCATAACCCGTGGTTACCCTATTTGAAAATATACTTACTTTATATATAAAGTCAAGTAGTCGGCCCGAAGACCCATGTTTTACTTTGAAAACATTCAACCCTTTCCCCGTGACTTCAAGCCACGCCCATCTATATTAATTCACCATGCTAGAGGCTTCCTCTAGTCATGTTTTGCCGTGCTAGAGGCTTACTCTAGTCACTAAATTCGGTGTTAGAGGCTTCCTCTAATCACCTTACATACTTTGTGCTGGAGGCTTCCTCCAGTCACATTACATTATGCTAGAGGCTTCCTCTAGTCATCCTACATTACGCTAGAGGCTTCCTCTAGTCGTCCTACACGAATGCTGGAGGCTTCCTCCAGTCATTCTTAATCGTGCTAGAGGCTTCCTCTAGTCACGATACTAACTCACTAGCAAATTCTATGCCTAGAGTCCCTCAATCTTGAGTAGCCAATGAGGCCTACTCCTAATGTAACTTAGTGGTTACCCATTCCTACCTTAAGGCATCTCATAAGACTACTTAAGGTGCATCCTTCACAATCCAAGTCCTTAGGATTTGTTCTATCACTTTTTATACAACATTCCCGATTAGTAAATTAATTACTAATCCATAAATCTTCAAACAGCCAAACTCCTTAACTCATAGTTATAAGGCTCATTCCTATGGATTTTCTAATCCGTATACGATTTAATCTCAATATCAAAAATATCACTTTTATCCATTCATGATTTCTATACATGAAGTAAAAGTATATTTTATCACAAAGATTCATGGTTTATACAATCATTATACCTTCACATTTATTATGCATCATCATACACAATTTCTCATAAATTCGTATGTTATGCATCTTCTATTCACAAACAATGATATTTTCATTTAGGCATTAATAATCCATGAAAATCACATTTAATTACTTTAGGTAATCTTATGAAATTAACCCAAAGATTATAAGCAATATAGTCAGCCATCCTCACCTCAAATGAGCTTTAAAACTTTCCTTCTCGATCCAATGACCAAAGCCTCGGCCAAGAAAGATTGAGGACTGATTCCTTGCTTGGAATTGAGTGTTAAACAGCCTCTTCAAAGTGCTAGTTCAACTCCTAACCGAAGACACAAAAACAGTCCCTAGAACGGGTGTTTCCCGACGAAATCGTTCCCTAACCTTTCAAGGTTTTGTCTAGATTAGTATCTAACTTTTCCAACAATTAAAGTCACTTTATAATAACATTTTATACACTTCAATCAGTGTATAATAGTTCTTCAATCATTTATATGGTTTAGACAATAGAGAGGAAGGTTTTGGATTCAAACTTACTTTGAATACAAAAACGTATTCCGCGAGGTTGTGTTTTGCTCGGACGATTTGAAAGCTTTCCACTACTCCGATTGATGCAAACCAGACCTTCACGGATTCCTCGTCTTGAGAGCTTTCTGTGGGTATCTCGCACGCCTTATTTGGATGTGTATAACTCGAGATATGAAGCAAACAAGTAACCTTACGCACTGGAAAACGAACCTGCGGCAGCTTCCCCTTCCTCTTGCTTTCTTGGTTGTGTGGCTCTCTCTTTCTCCCTTATCCTTGGGAGTTCGAATGAGGGGCTTAAGGGAGTGTCCAAGACCCTTCAATAAGGGTGGATAAGTTGTGTGGAGTGAAATGAATTGGTATGGTCTCCATGAGATGTTTTTAGACATGGGTGGGTCTCACTTTTGATCTCTTTGTCATAAGATGTCTCTTTGTACTCATTCTAATTTATTTGGAACAAGTCAACTCTCTACATCATATTATTGATCTCCAATATGTGTATGATCATCCCAATAATTTACATGATGAATATTATAGAAGAAAAACCCTACTCCCATTATTTAGCTCAATAATGCCAAAGATGGGGTTATAGGCATTTGTATTCTTCTCAAATCATCCTATCACTTATTTTGACATTTGCCATTCATATTATTAGGCTACAAGCCGTGTGGGTCGCCCCCGAGTGGGCCTACGACGCCATTCTCGAATACTTGCTATTCTAGCGGGTTGAGCCCAAAATAATATCTGGGCCGCCCGCCCTTCCTCAACTTGTCTTGAAAAGTTATGTATTAATATTTAGATAATGTTAGGCTCTTTTATTTATTAATAAGGCCCGATACTTATATACGAGTTCGAACAGTACAATAATCGATCATTAATTACGTAAAACATTAATCGTTTTACAATCGTTTGGGAATCAGAAATCCAATACATAAACTTTGAATTTTAAAATCAAGTTTTCAAGGACGTTCGGGTGTGGTGTCACAAGTTCACCCCCCCTTAACAGGAATTTCGTCCCCGAAATTCACAGCTCTACTCGAATAGGAAAGCATACTGCTTCCTCATCAAGCCTCTGTTTCCCATGTCTCCCCTTCGACCTGATCGCTCTTCCAAAGTACTTTAACCATTGGGACCTCTTTGCTCCTCAGTTTCTTCACTTTTCTATTGGTGACCTTGATTGGTTGCACAGCGTAGTTCCCCTCAATGCCCTCAAACAAGTCGACAATGCCCCAGACAACTCTTCTGACTGAGGGCATCTGCTACAACGTTTGCCTTACCTGGATGGTACTCAATAACTAGATGGTAGTCCTTTATCAACTCCATCCACCCTCTCTGTCTCATGTTTTAACTCTTTCTGAGTAAACACATACTTCAAGCTCTTATGATCAGTATATATGTGACATGTCTCTCCGTAGAGATAATGTCTCCAAATTTTCAGTGCAAACACCACTGCTCCCAGCTCTAGATCATGGGTAGGGTAATTCACCTCCTGCTTCTTCAACTGTCGTGAAGCATAGGCATTTACCCTCCCCTCCTGCATCAACACCCATCCAAGCCCTTGGATGCTCGCGTCACTATAGACATCGTACCCCATACCCTGTTTGGGTAATGCAAGTACCGGTGCCTCGGTCAATCTCTCCTTTAGTTCAATGAACTCCTTCTCACATTTGTCATCCCATACAAACTTAGCTCCTTTAAGAGTGAGCTTTGTCAATGGTGATGCCAAAACGGAGAGTTTCTCCACGAACTTCCTGTAGTAGCCTGCTAACCCAAGGGAACCACGAATTTCCTTGACGTTCTTTGGTCTCTCCCATTCGGTAATGGCCCCTATCTTCTTATTATCAACAGCAATTCCCGATCCTGAAACTACATGCCCGAGGAAGCCAATTTCCTTTAGCCAAAATTCACATTTAGAAAATTTGGCATAAAGTTGCTTCTCCCGTAGTGTCTCAAGAACGAGTATCAAGTGCTCTTCATGCTCTTCCTTACTCTTTGAGTAAATCAAAATGTCATCTATGAACACAATCACGAATCGATCCAAGTATTTATGGAATACTCGGTTCATCAAGTCCATGACTGCTGCTGGGGCGTTTGTTAACCCAAACGACATAACAAGGAACTCAAAGTGCCCATACCTTCTGCGGGAAGCACTCCTTGGTATGTCATCCTCCTTAATCTTCGATTGATGGTACCCCGACCTCAAGTCAATCTTTGAAAACACAGTTGTTCCTCGTAGTTGATCAAACAAGTCGTCAATCCTAGGCAAAGGATACCTATTCTTGATTGTGACCTTGTTCAGTTGACAATAGTCAATGCACATTCGAAGTGTCCCATCTTTCTTTTTCACAAAAAGAACCGGTGCTCCCCACGGGGAGTGGCTTGGTCTAATGAAACCATTATCCAAAAGCTCTTGCAATTGGATTTTCAACTCGTTAAGTTCAGCGGGTGCCATACGGTATGGCGGTATGGAGATTGGTTTGGTGCCGGGCTCGACCTCGATCACAAATTCAATCTCCCTATCAGGTGGAAGCCCCGGCAGGTCCTTTGGGAAGACATCCGGGTACTTACAAACCACCCTCACATCGTCGATGTTCGTTTCCTCCTTGGTCTTGTCAACCACTTATGCTAGATAAGCGTGACATCCCTTTCTCATCATACTTCTCGCTCTCACAACGGATATGATACAGCTGTTTGATTTGCCTCGGTCCCCCTCGAAGCGTAGGGTATCCCCATCATTGCCTTCGAGTCCCAAGACCTTTGTGTCGCAATCTACCCTAGCATGATGCTTTTCTAGTCAATCCATCCCTAGGATTGCATCGAACTCCATCATACTCAGCGGTACGAAATCACACGTCAAGGTTTGGCCACCGATTTCCACCATACAAGACTGATAGTACTTGGTTCTTTCAACGTCTTCCCTTAGTGGTGTTGATACCACTAAAGTTCGCGTCATTGGTATTGATTGTATCTCTGAGCCCTCGGCGAACGCCTCACTTACGAATGAGCGTTGCGCTCCGGTATCGATAAGGATTCGCGCATGCTTCCCATTAATCTTTAGTGTTCCTACATTTATAGTCATGTGGGATACCTTTTCTAATGTTTTTACACATCATTAGGAGGTTATTAGGTTCATACTACTGTTTGGAATCAATCGGGGGTCCAAACGTAGAAGAACGGAGCGAAAAAATGAGTTTTCGGTTGCCGGGGGTCCACGCACGGCGTGCCTGGGTGGCACGCACGGCCGTGCGTGCACAGGAGTCTCCCTGCCAGCCACTGCCTCCCAGGCACGGTGCCACGCACGGCGTGCCTGCGGCCGTGCCTGGCCGAATTTCCTCGAAGAGGCCACTGCCTCCCAGGCACGGTGCCACGCACGGCGTGCCTGCAGCCGTGCCTGGCCGGATTTCCTCAGAATGGCCACTGCCTTCCAGGCACGGTGCCACGCACGGCGTGCCTGCGGCCGTGCCTGGCCGGAACTCCTCAGCGAGACCACTGCCTCCCAGGCACGGTGCCACGCACGGCGTGCCTGCGGGCGTGCCTGGCCGGCAGTGGCTGTTTCCAGCCTGATTTGGCCTAACTCACCCGGTTTGGCCCCGGGGTGGCCCGCACTCAATCCCAACGACGTACATGATCAAAGTAAGCCTAAAAATGCCCAAAATAAGTGTATTACCTGCGACGGAGTCGGGATTAGCCCGAGCATCTGCCTCGGTCATTGCGTACACTCTCGCTTGAGTTCTTCCTTGGTTCACGGAGGGTGCGTTGCTTGTACTTGCCCCGCCGTGGCCCGCGCTTGCATTTGGTGCCCCATCCCGGTTTCTACTCACTGTGGTTGCACTGCTTGGTCCTGATGACCGGTCCCCACCAAGTTGAGGGCAATTGGGCCTTATGTGCCCCGTATCTCCGCATTGGTAGCACCGTGGGGGATCACGACATTTGCCCTCGTGATTTCTCTTGCAATTCCTGCACTTAGGCTTCGTCGAGGCTTGTAACCCCGAGTTTTTCCCACCCATGTTGGAATTCCCCCTTGATGGTGGTGCGGGTGCCCTGAAGGATCCTCCTCCCCCGTGATTCATCTTCTTGTTTGAACCTTGGGGGCCATGGTTCTCCCATTTTCTTTTCTTTGCCTCCTCGGCATTTCTTCGCTTCCTCTCTTCCCACTCCTTCTCTCCCTTCAAACCTTGTTCCACCACTTGACTAAATGTCATATTAGGCAATTGTGTTGCCCTCTCACGTATGTCAAGGTCCAAGGCATCCCAGAAATGGTTCACCATCCGATTTTCATCACAAATGTACTCCGGTATGAACTCAGCAAGCTTTCTGAACTTGTGTTCAAGTTCCTTCACCGTGCATTCCCCTCCTTGGGTCAAATTCGTGTACTCCCTCCTCTTCAAGTTCACCTCGAAGTCGGAGTAGTATTGGCTAAAGAATTCTTGCCTGAAGTTCTCCCAAGTGACCGCCTCACCGTACTTCCCTTTGACACCGTCCCACCACGTGGACGCCATTCCTTCTAGCAATCTTGTTGCCACTCTCATCTTCATATGGGGTGGCAGCTGCATATCAAGGGCCGCTTCATTGAATCTCTTGATCCACTCGGCCGCCACGGAGATGTCTCCCGTTCCATCAAACGGTTTACATCCCAAGTCTCTTGCCTCCTTTAGGTACTTTGAGATCCTTATGATAGGAACCTCGGCACCTCGACCTCCTCGGAGTTCAATGCTCTCCCTAGGAGTCGCGCGGCTTCCTCTCCTCGAAGCCCCTTCCAAAGCACGCCTTGCCCGGCGCCTTTGGCGATCTTGTTGGTATTGCCGGAGCAATTCCTCAATCCGTTCAAGAGCGTCATTATCATCACTCTCATCACTAGCATCATCGTGTTCCCCATCATATGGGGTGTCAACCGGCTCAGTTCCCGGTTGGTAAGTTGAATCCTCCTCGGACTCATAGTGCTCATCTATTGTTTCCACGTGACCGTCACTCACGGTCAGCGAGTGGCCTGCTCGGCCCTGTCCCCCAGACTCTCTTGATCCCCCCTGACTGCCACGTTGGGATCCTCCCAGCACCTGGCCAGTCGGGTTCCGTCGAGTCACTCTACCGGTGCGTTCCATTTCTGAAAGAAGTTTAGAATGAGCCATTAGGCTCGTATCAAATGTCAAGTGACGGATAGGTACTTAAAGACATCTTTTGGCTCAAATCACCGTCATACCAATTGTTAAGGGTACCATCTTAACAATTAGAGACTTTGCAACTCAAGTACCAAAAGTTCTATAAGTACAAAACTTTTATGCTCATGGTTTTCAAAATCATTTTCAAAAGGGATTTTGAAGCTTCATTATGAAGTTTACGGACTAAGGCTCTGATACCAATTAAATTGTCACGCCCCGGACCTACCGGACACGTCAACAACCCGCCGTACAGTACGAATAGTCAACCGCAGTCCAACTCATCCATACCATACAAGGCGTCTTGAATACCATTCACAATAGTACATCCATAAACAATCATAATGTGAAATAATTAATTAAAGCAGCGGAAACATTTAATAAAGTGTTTATGCCACACTTTGGCGAACATGGGCATACAAGCCCTCAAATAATTATTCAAAAATAATATCCATGAGCATTAATGTAATTGTTTTAAAAACAGAAACGGAGGAAGCACGAACCACGTCTTCCCTCCTGGATCCTCCCTTGAAGCAACGAGTATTTGTAGCGAGCTCAACTCCTACCTGAAACTGTGAGGTGGCCTCCCCCGTGAAGGGGAGGTCAGTACTTGGAAGCATTTGACAAGTACAATGACAACTATACTAAGTATAATCAAAGTTTCAATTTCCAAGACCCTCACATAGGGTGATAATATAATATAGGTCATAACCCGTGGTTACCCTATTTGAAAATATACTTACTTTATATATAAAGTCAAGTAGTCGGCCCGAAGACCCATGTTTTACTTTGAAAACATTCAACCCTTTCCCCGTGACTTCAAGCCACGCCCATCTATATTAATTCACCATGCTAGAGGCTTCCTCTAGTCATGTTTTGCCGTGCTAGAGGCTTACTCTAGTCACTAAATTCGGTGTTAGAGGCTTCCTCTAATCACCTTACATACTTTGTGCTGGAGGCTTCCTCCAGTCACATTACATTATGCTAGAGGCTTCCTCTAGTCATCCTACATTACGCTAGAGGCTTCCTCTAGTCGTCCTACACGAATGCTGGAGGCTTCCTCCAGTCATTCTTAATCGTGCTAGAGGCTTCCTCTAGTCACGATACTAACTCACTAGCAAATTCTATGCCTAGAGTCCCTCAATCTTGAGTAGCCAATGAGGACTACTCCTAATGTAACTTAGTGGTTACCCATTCCTACCTTAAGGCATCTCATAAGACTACTTAAGGTGCATCCTTCACAATCCAAGTCCTTAGGATTTGTTCTATCACTTTTTATACAACATTCCCGATTAGTAAATTAATTACTAATCCATAAATCTTCAAACAGCCAAACTCCTTAACTCATAGTTATAAGGCTCATTCCTATGGATTTTCTAATCCGTATACGATTTAATCTCAATATCAAAAATATCACTTTTATCCATTCATGATTTCTATACATGAAGTAAAAGTATATTTTATCACAAAGATTCATGGTTTATACAATCATTATACCTTCACATTTATTATGCATCATCATACACAATTTCTCATAAATTCGTATGTTATGCATCTTCTATTCACAAACAATGATATTTTCATTTAGGCATTAATAATCCATGAAAATCACATTTAATTACTTTAGGTAATCTTATGAAATTAACCCAAAGATTATAAGCAATATAGTCAGCCATCCTCACCTCAAATGAGCTTTAAAACTTTCCTTCTCGATCCAATGACCAAAGCCTCGGCCAAGAAAGATTGAGGACTGATTCCTTGCTTGGAATTGAGTGTTAAACAGCCTCTTAAAAGTGCTAGTTCAACTCCTAACCGAAGACACAAAAACAGTCCCTAGAACGGGTGTTTCCCGACGAAATCGTTCCCTAACCTTTCAAGGTTTTGTCTAGATTAGTATCTAACTTTTCCAACAATTAAAGTCACTTTATAATAACATTTTATACACTTCAATCAGTGTATAATAGTTCTTCAATCATTTATATGGTTTAGACAATAGAGAGGAAGGTTTTGGATTCAAACTTACTTTGAATACAAAAACGTATTCCGCGAGGTTGTGTTTTGCTCGGACGATTTGAAAGCTTTCCACTACTCCGATTGATGCAAACCAGACCTTCACGGATTCCTCGTCTTGAGAGCTTTCTGTGGGTATCTCGCACGCCTTATTTGGATGTGTATAACTCGAGATATGAAGCAAACAAGTAACCTTACGCACTGGAAAACGAACCTGCGGCAGCTTCCCCTTCCTCTTGCTTTCTTGGTTGTGTGGCTCTCTCTTTCTCCCTTATCCTTGGGAGTTCGAATGAGGGGCTTAAGGGAGTGTCCAAGACCCTTCAATAAGGGTGGATAAGTTGTGTGGAGTGAAATGAATTGGTATGGTCTCCATGAGATGTTTTTAGACATGGGTGGGTCTCACTTTTGATCTCTTTGTCATAAGATGTCTCTTTGTACTCATTCTAATTTATTTGGAACAAGTCAACTCTCTACATCATATTATTGATCTCCAATATGTGTATGATCATCCCAATAATTTACATGATGAATATTATAGAAGAAAAACCCTACTCCCATTATTTAGCTCAATAATGCCAAAGATGGGGTTATAGGCATTTGTATTCTTCTCAAATCATCCTATCACTTATTTTGACATTTGCCATTCATATTATTAGGCTACAAGCCGTGTGGGTCGCCCCCGAGTGGGCCTACGACGCCATTCTCGAATACTTGCTATTCTAGCGGGTTGAGCCCAAAATAATATCTGGGCCGCCCGCCCTTCCTCAACTTGTCTTGAAACGTTATGTATTAATATTTAGATAATGTTAGGCTCTTTTATTTATTAATAAGGCCCGATACTTATATACGAGTTCGAACAGTACAATAATCGATCATTAATTACGTAAAACATTAATCGTTTTACAATCGTTTGGGAATCAGAAATCCAATACATAAACTTTGAATTTTAAAATCAAGTTTTCAAGGACGTTCGGGTGTGGTGTCACAAATTGTATTCAGCTCTTGTATTTACAATCAATCAATAAACTCTATTCTTCTATTTGGTATCAGAGCTTCCCAATTCTAGGGGCTCTGCTTCTGCACGCAAACACAAAAAAAAGGTTTTTTATCACAAAATTACTGCCAGAAGGCTGCTCTGGGTTCTGTTCCTGAGTTTTTTCCTCTTTGATACTACCGCTTTACTAGTGTAGTATTTTCTTTCTATACTATGCCTGATCTCGAAGAAAAAACTCTCTCTCCCACATTTGACCCACAATGACCTCCCGATATTACAAGGGTCATACCGGTTAGATGGGCGCAACTACCTTCAATGGGCTCAGCTTGTTCGTACCACTCTTAGAGGACGCAAAAGGATTAGTCACATCGAAGGCAAAGCCCTTGATGAGACAGATCCAAACTATGAAACATGGGTTGATGGGGATTCTCTCATTATGACCTGGTTTTGGCACTCTATGACTCCGAAGGTTAGTAGGAATTATATGTTTTTTGCAATTGCTAGGGAGATTTGGAAGAATCTGGCAGAAACATATTGCATGAAACAAGATCTCTCAGCATGTTTTGAATTGGAAAATAAAGTCTTTAATACCAAGCAGGGAACTCTCTCTGTAACTGACTATTATGGCACTCTAAATGGTCTCTGGATCGAATTAGATTAGTATCAAAGTTTGACAATGAAGTGTGATGAAGACTCTACTGCACAAACCCAATTTATTGAAAGAACACGTATATTTAAGTTTCTCTCTGGGCTCAACTCTAAATTTGATCCCATTCGGGTTCAAATTTTGGGTAATAAGAAACCGCCATCTCTTTCGGAAGTCTTTCACACTATTCGTGGTGAAGAAAGTAGGAGGTCAGTGATGATGGAAGAGAAATCAATTGATGGTTCAGCCTTAGCCACCGGAAAGGGTTCCATACAAGGATCCACTTTGGGAGGCCCTTTTTTGAAGTCCAATCGTGAAGACCGATTGTGCAGTTATTGTAAAAAATCTGGTCATACAAAGGACACGTGTTTCAAACTGCATGGAAGGGATAAAGTCCTTGGACGTATAAGCGGGGCCAAAAATATTTTTCAGAGACGTGCAAATCACAAAGTTTCTAATGTGGAAATTGAAGGCAATCCACCTAGTTCATCCACAGAAGATATCCGAGCCTTAGCAAAGCAGAACTTGAGCGCCTAAGAGCACTTATGGACTCCTTGAGCACACCCTCTGGTAATTGTTCTCTAACAATGACTGGTAAGAATTCTACCTTCTTATCTTTTGATGCTTTAAGTACTGATCATAGTTGGATTGTTGACTCTGGTGCTACAGATCACATGACACCTCACCTCTCACATTTATCTTCATATTCCACTTTACCAACCAAACACCATATCACTGTTGCTAATGGATCCCAAACTCCCATTACTGGATGTGGTAACACCATTGTGAATTCATCTCTTCACCTTAAGCATGTCCTTCATATTCCAGGGCTCTCTAGAAATCTTTTGTCTATCCACAAGCTTACCAAAGATTTAAACTGTGCAGTAACTTTCTTTCATTCCCATTAATATTGTGTTTTTCAGGATCTTGCCACGGGGAAGACGATTGGAATTGCTAAGGAATGGGACGGGTTATACTCTCTGCCATATAAGGAAAGTATTTGTCATCAAGCGAGTTCAGAATCTTGGAATTCCTCTCAAATATGGTTGCATCACAAACGTCTTGGGCATCATCCCTTTAGAGTTGTCCGGGCCATGTTTCCCCATTTATTTACAAAATTGTCAGTTGAGTCTTTTCACTGTGATGTATGTCAATTTTCCAAACATCACCGTTCAACTTTTGTTCCTAGTAATAATAAAAGTGCCCAACCTTTTGATTTGGTTCATTTTGATGTTTGGGGATCTTCGTCCATTTCAAATATTTCTGGTGCAAAATGGTTTGTCACTTTTATTGATGATTGTTCTAGGATTACATGGGTTTTCTTATGAAAGATAAATCAGAGGTGTGTTTCAACTATTTGTTAATTTTTTCCACATGGTTCAAACCCAATTTGGAAAACCTATTAAACGGTTACGGTCAGACAATGGGAAAGAATATTTAAATCAGAACTTTTCTGATTTTCTGAAACAAAATGGTGTTGTTCATGAATTGACTTGTGTTGACATCCCGCAACAAAACGGGGTGGCTGAACGGAAAAACCGCCATCTTCTTGAAATCGCTAGCGCATTACTCTTTCAAATGAATGTTCCTAAGTTTTATTGGGGAGAAGCTGTGTTGACCGCTACTTATTTAATCAATAGGTTACCATCTAGGGTTTTATCTGGTGTTAGCCCTATACATTTTATAAACAATTTTTTCCCATCAGTGCCCACTATGTCAAGTCTCCAGGGTCGTGTTTTTGGTTGTTCTGCATTTGTTCATGTTCATGGTCCTCATTGAAGTAAGTTAGACCCCAGGGCTCTTAAATGTATCTTTATAGGATATGCACCAAATAAAAAGGGGTATAAATGTTATCATCCTTCTAGTCGTCGTGTTTATATATCCATGGATGTCACTTTTTTGGAAACCGAATCTTTTTATCCTAATTCTCAGGTTCAGGGGGAGAGTAGACTGGAAGTTGAGTCCCCTGAGCTTTTTGTTCTTCCTCTAATAAATGAACCCTTGAATTCACATCCTAGTCCTGCCCCTAAGGACAGTGATGCTACTGATAATGGTTCTGAACAAATACCAGTGAATAATAATGATGACAGGTACTGTATAAAGTACCAATGGAAAGCTAAACCCGTCCTAATCCATGAGCAAGTCCAATCATCTAACCCTGGGGTAATTACTCACAACCCTGAGCCTAATAATTCTTGTTTAATTGCTCCTAACTCCGAGCCTAATAAATATTGTGAGCCAAACCCCGATGACCTGCCCATTGCGTTGAGAAAGAAAAAACGATCTTGCACCCAGTACCCTATATCTCAATTTGTGTGTACTAAGAATCTTTCTGCCCAACATCAGAGTTTTCTTTCAACTATTGACTCTATTAGAGTCCCTGCATCAGTGCAAGAAGCTTTAAAAGATAAGGATTGGATTCAAGCCATGAATGAAGAGATGCATGCACTAGAAAAGAATAAAACTTGGGAGATGGTTGAAAAACCAAATAATAAAAAAACAGTAGGCTGCAGGTGGATATACACAGTAAAGTACCGATCTGATGGTACACTTGACAGGTATAAGGTGAGGTTAGTAGCAAAGGGTTTCACCCAGACCTATGGGATTGATTATGAAGATACATTTGCTCCTGTAGCAAATGTGAATACAGTAAGGATCATTTTATCCTTAGCAGACCACTTTGATTGGGAGTTACAGCAGTTCTATGTAAAAAAAATGTTTTCTTGCATGGAGATTTAGAAGAAGAGGTATATATGGAGATTCCGCCAGGGTATGCCCCTACTTCAGGGAGAAATATGGTTTGCAGATTGAAGAAGGCCCTTTACGGGCTCAAGCAATCACCCCGAGCATGGTTTGGAAGGTTTACTCAGGCCATGGTATCACTGGGGTATAAACAAAGCCAAGGTGATCATACCCTCTTTATAAAACACGCTGAAAATGGAAAACTAACTCTTTTGTTAGTCTATGAGGATGATATGATCATTTCAGGGAATGATGAATATGAAAAACAGATTCTGAGAAAGGAGTTGGCAGCTCAGTTTGAAATGAAAGACCTTGGAAAGCTCAAATATTTCCTAGGCATGGAAATGGTGTACTCAAAACAAGGCATTTTCATTTCCCAAAGAAAATATGTCCTTGATCTTCTTAAAGAAACTGGTAAGTTAGGCTGCAAAATCACTGGAGTACCCATAGAGCAAAATCACAGGATTGGGAGTGATGAGGAGAGCCCAAAAGTAGAGAAGACTCAATATCAGAGACTCGTGGGAAAACTCATTTACCTATCTCACACACGGCCTGATAAAGCATATCCTGTTAGTGTTGTTAGTCAGTTCATGCATGATCCGCACGAAAGACACTTGCAAGCAGTGAATAAATCTTGCAATATTTGAAGGCAAGACCTGGGAGAGGACTGCTATTCAAAAAGGAGGAACATCTGTCTATGGAGATCTATACAGATGCAGACTATGCAGGGTCAATTATTGACCGGAGGTCTACTACTGGCTATTGCATGTTCTTGGGTGGAAATTTAGTGACTTGGAGGAGTAACGAGCAGAATGTAGTGGCACGATCGAGCGCAGAAGCATAATTCAGGGCCTTGGCTCAAGGAGTTTGTGAATTATTATGGATGAAGATCATATTAGAATATTTGAAAATACTGTTTAAAGCTCCTATGAGACTCTTATGTGATAATAAATCTGCTATTAGTATAGCTCATAATCCAGTCCAACATGATAGAACAAAACACATAGAAATAGACCGACACTTCATCAAGGAAAAACTAGATAGTGGTCTTATTTCTACACAGTATGTTCCTTCGGAGCTTCTGTTGGCTGATGTGCTCACCAAAGGGCTTCCAGTAGAGCGATTTCGAGAACTTACTTGCAAGCTGGGAATGATAGACATCCATTCACCATCTTAAGGGGGAGTGTAGATATATTAGAATGTTTAGTTCATTATTATGAGATTTGTCCTGATCATAATCTGATTTCCTCCTAATCATAATCTGATTTTCTAGAATCAAGTAGGAGATTTGTATTAATTAGAAGATCCTGCACATAATTATTCTTTCCTTTATTAAGTTAGGCCTAGGCCTATAAATTGTTTTCAACTCTTGTATTTACAATCAATCAATAAACTCTATTCTTCTAGTGTAACCATGGACCTTGTACGGGTAAAGAATGACGGAAAGAAGACCTTGGGCTTTCCCTTGGACAAATATAAGACCTAATTTAAATAAGGACAGAAAAGAGACCAAATATGTGTGAATGGACTCAAACACCCTGATATAATTACAAAACATTTAACCTCCCTCTGCTTGAGCGTCGATCTTCTCCCCTTCCATCGCCGCATTTGACCTTTGCTGCAACAAACATCGACGCATCCACCATCTCCACCATCGCTGCGACCACTGTCGTCTCCTGCCATTGCCGCAACCACCATCGTCTTCCACCATCACCGCAGGTCTGTAACCATCAGCTCTTTTTCTCTGTTTCCCCATCGCGATTGAGGAGCCATTGCCGCCATTACTGGCGATTGGATGATGCAAGTGGTTTGAATCGACGTCGTTCATCGATTGGATGTGGATAGAGCCTGACGACGACGGTGGACTAGAGACTAGGGTCACAGGTGTTGGTGGTGTGTTGGTGGCTGATTGGGGGCTGAACCCTGGTGGTTTGGGGCTGGGGTTGGCTAGCGACCAAGCTTACGAGCCGGAGTGATGTGCGGCGGCTAGGGTGGGGTGAGGCAACGATTGTGTGCAAGGCTATGGACTGGGAGTATGGGAGAGGGCGGGGCAGACAGTGGCAGGGGTAGCAGGGACTGGGGAGGCTGGTGAGGGGTTGGAGTTGGGGCGGGAGACAGGTGGGGGTGGCTGTCCGCCAAAGAGGGCAGGTGGCGTAACTGATGTGGCGGTTATTTGAAGGCGGCGGCGGCCGGTGGTGGTGTCTGGCAGTGGTGTTTAGCGGTGGTCACTATTAAACAGAGTAATCGTAATTGATCGAACTGTGTCAATATAACGGGTCAAACCGGGTTATTGTAACGGGTTGTATTGGGTAATTTATCGGGTCGACTAATTGTAACCGTGTAATTGCAACGGGTTTGGTAACTATAATTGATCAGATCACATAATTTTAATTGGTTAGGTTTGGTAACTGTAACTGGACGGGTCGGTAACTGTAACAGGACTTGTCGGGTAATTGTAACTAGATGGATTGGGTAACAGTAACTGGACGTGTCGGGTAACTGTAACTGGAAGGGTCGGGTAATTGTAACTGTATGGGCGGACGTTGGTCACTGGACGGGTGAACGTTTATCACTTGGCGAGATTTGGATTTTTGGTCACTAATAATTTTTGGTCACTGACGGATTTTGATCACTATAAGGTTGTTGGTCACTGTGGCGTTACTGTAGCACTAATGGGTGAGATTCTATTAATATAAGGGTATAATAGTCTCCTAACTCATTTTTAGTCTCATTTTTGGAAAATAGAAAAAAATGTCTCTTTTTTGTCCATAGCTCTTTTTTAGTATTATTTTAGACATAACCCCATTTTCTTTTCTTTCTATCCTGTACTCATCTCTCATTCTTGGTTCTTGTTGCTCTTGATCAGGATATCATCTACGTAGGCCTCCATGTTGACCCTTGGCACTTCTTTGAACAATATCACGATCATCCGCTAGAAGGTAGCCATTGTGTTCCTCAACCCGAATGGTGGCGTATCTACAGACCCTGGCTAGGACTTCTACATAGCGGGTACCAGGATCTTTCTTTGGATCTCTATAAAGCTCCCCAGTTTAGAGAGCATTGGTGAAGAGAGTGATGTCGGTGGATTCGGTTAGCTGTTCGGCCTTCAATGTCTCATCCCTCAACCTGATCAAGAATTTAAAAAGTGATTCTCCCGACCCCTAGAGCAAACTCATGAGGTATCTGAAGTGTCGTTTGGGGGAGGCGCTCGAAGCAAACTGTGCCAAGAAAAGCCTTTACAATTCGGCAAAACTGCTGATGGATCTCGGCTGCAACTGGACGAACCACTTCTGTGCATGCCCCCGGGGGTTGCTGAAAAACAACCTGCATATGGGTGCATTATGTGTGATTGGGGTCCCCGACCCCATTATAGATCAAGCTGATCAGTGGCCTGCAGTCCCTCGGGATCTCAGCGACCATGATATCTGCGGTGAAATGAGAATTAAGGAAAATACGGGGTTGTGTCGAGGTTTTGCTTTGCTATCGGGTCATCTCGTCAATCTGCCTCTAGAGATTTTCCATGATCGTAGCCCCTACAGTCTCGCCCGGAGGAGGAGGTGTATCGACTGCAGTGCATTACCCCCATCTCGGGCATTCCTATGATCTTGGCCCACTCTTGTGGCTACCGACCTCCTCAGTGCCTTCCCTGGAAGTGTCGTCCATCGGGACATCAGTTGGGAGTCGGCTCCCGCACGTGATGACCGTTGCGGGGCATTATCGGGGTCTGTTCTTCCATGGTGTTTCTCCCTGTATGGGACCTATATATTTTAGCTCCCCTTCTGTGGTTACCGATCGACCTTTCCCCTCGAATCCATGCCTGTCATGGGTCACGAGAATATACTGAGGTCCATAGGGCTCCGGACTCCCCGTCCTTTTCATCAAAATGTTGCATCTGTCGGATTGGTGAGGGGGAGATGTGTTCTGTCTCGGCAGTGTACACGGTTTGCTCAGCATACTCCCGATCGGCCATCGCTCGCATAGTATCCGCCAATTCCCTCATGAGGTGGGGGTCACAGCAAACCGCGTTCGGGATCAAATCAGTAAGATCCCCCTTTCTGTTCGGGTCTGCCCATCCACTACTAGTCTGCTCCCTGGAGTTGAGGGTGCAAGACCTTCAACTCTCCTACAGGCGTTCAGATAGGTCATGTGTCCTGTGTTTGGTTTGTTGCTCTCCCTGCCATTGTAGTAGGAAGTTGTTGATGCTTGAAGAGTGTCTTAGTGTGAGAGCTTGCTCGGGATTTTTAGTTCAAAGTTCCCACAGACGGTGCCAATGTCGAAGTTTATTCCTTAGGATCCATAGGCCCAACACAGCTTTGGACTTCATAAGAATGTTTTGGTTATGCGAATGTTTAGGTAAGCCTTTAAGGCAATTAAAAGTGCAAGAACAAACAACTAGTAAGTGAATCCAATTCTATTCCAGCCAATAGAACGATTACAAAAGCAATTGCCGAACGAGAATGATGATCCTCTATGCAGAGTTACAAGTTATAACGGGGAAGTTAGCATAGTGCTAAGAGTACAAAGTTGCTAACCATTTACAATGAAATAAATGTTGGTATTTATACTACAAGTGAGTTGATGACTGGGTGATGTGGCCGGCCTTGAGTGGATGAGCCTCAACCATAAAATCTCCCATATCTAATGCATTAAATGCACTTCTCGCCAACTCTAGTGTTTCCCGCCAACTGTCTTGGATCATCCCGCTGTGGATAGTTTGCTGGAATGGGGAGAGAACTCAAGTGGGGATAATGGATCGTACGGCACTGCCCGTGCTGCCGACCCCGTGGAGGTACCCCGTGTCGGAATGTCTGCTGATGGTCCATGTGGCGGGATATTGGGGCCACCGGGACCTAATATCTGAACACAAGTCCCACAATTCTGATGTTATAAACGTGCGCGGGACATTTGTACTTCACCCTTTATAATAGTTCAAAACTTCAAATGAGCCCACTTAAATGAATTATTTCATTTAGGCGAGATAAGGGTGTCCAAATGAGTATCCAAAATGAGTACGAGTACTATTTTTAATCTTTTTTGACTTGCCCCTAAAGGTCGGCCACCGACCATTCCCGTCTTGCCAACTCTCTCTGTCTCTCTGAACACAGGGATAGGATATCATCTCCTTACACTGCTCTTTCCCGTGCTCTCTCTCTCTCTCTGGACACTTCTCTTTCCCGTGCATCTACTAGCGACGCGATCGGAATTTATAGCATTCGTATATTTTGATCGAACTCTGAAGTCGTGGAAGATCTGAGGCCTTCGGAATGAGCGCGTCCAGATTCATCAAGTGTGTGACGGTGGGCGATGGCGCCGTTGGCAAGACATGCCTCTTGATTTCCTACACCAGCAACACTTTTCCCACGGTTCGTCTTCCATATTTCATCCAACCGCCCGCCTTTCTGTTCTTCTCCCCGCTTCCATGGTTTTTTGTTTTGTTTAATTGGTTTCGTTTCATAGTCTGAAAAGCTGTATGCTGTGCGGTCTCTGTAATTTGACAAAGCTGTGAAATGTTTCCATCTTGAACTTCCAATTTTGATAATCTCCGAAATGCAGTTGGGCAGGACAACAAAACTGACTAAAAATAAAATTTCTATTCCTTCACCAATATATAATTAAATAATACCCCCTAACGCCTGCATCTCAATTCAAGCGACTATGAGAGGAGTGTTTTGAATTGATTAATTAAAGAGCCCCCTAATGCCCCCCCTGTACGTTGTATAATAGTAATTAACTAAAGTCAGTAAAGTGTAGTCTGTATTTATACTAATCATACTAAATTTTAAACTTGTTAACAAAAAACATAAAACAGGCTTTTCTGGTATTTAAAGTTATGTTTTTAGTTTTCAAAAACACATGAAAAGATGAGTCCAAGTAGTAGTATAAAGTACTGGTTTGGAATATTTCCTTAGGATTTCAATGCAGATTGTTCGACAATTCTTCTGCAAGATTAATGGAATTACTATTGCATGGGATCAATTCTAATTGGATTCCAATTGTAACTTCTTTTATTCACAATGCTCTACAGGATTACGTTCCCACTGTATTTGACAATTTCAGTGCCAATGTGGTTGTCAATGGGGCTACAATTAATCTTGGGTTGTGGGATACTGCTGGTAATTATTTTAAAAGGCATTTGGTTTGAATTTCATCTTCAATCGGTGAATGTATGAACTGTTGTGCTATCCATAAATCATAATATCTACCAAACATGAAAAGTAGACTATTTTATCTATGCAGTCCGCATAAGTGAGCTGAATTAGTTTTACCAGATGGGAAGTCATGTGCCTATGCTCTTGAACATTTCGGTTTACAGAGTGTCTTATACTTATTTATCTATGTTATCTAATCTCCGTGTACATGTTGAGTACTCACTAACTCGGTGTTGGGCCTTGCTGATTAGTACTTTGACTTGCACTGTTCCATTTTTCGAGTAACTTGCTGAGTGCTCGGCGTTTTTCTCTACTCGGTGACAAAGTTGACTCGCCAAGTTAATTGACAAGCAGTAAATTGATTTTTTATCTGATAAAGTTAAACTGGTTAAGATATTATCGAATTTATGAATAATTAGTAGGTATTTTAATAATTGGAAAAATAAGATTAATCAGTCTAGGTTTAGGGACATGGAGGATCAAGAGCAAAATGCCGACCTTGAACCCAGTGAAGATTAGTTTCAGACAAAAGTTCAGAATTAAGTATTATTCGGTTATTGATTTTCTTGGAAGTTAGTAATGCTACTTCATTATTAGGATTATTCATGCGTGACCGAGTAATTTAAATTTAGTGAGGATCAACATTACTAGAATTTGAGGCATTTTAAATTTAATTAATGTGTGACCGAGTAATTACCGAGCAATCAGTCCTACTCGCTACTCGGCCCCCTGACCTTGTCACTACCGAGTAGCAATTTAACTACTTGGCTTATTAATATAGGTATAATCTTATTATTCATAACAGGGCAGGAGGACTATAACAGATTAAGACCACTGAGTTATCGTGGAGCTGATGTTTTCATTTTGGCATTTTCTCTCATTAGTAAAGCCAGCTATGAAAATGTTTCAAAAAAGGTGAGGACTTGATATCTGCATAAAGTTGTATAGCTTCCTCTCTTTAATTCCTGTTTATCTATCGTGCTTGAAACTTAATTTGATCATTGATAAATCTCTTTCCAGTGGATCCCTGAATTGAAGCATTATGCGCCTGGTGTTCCGATAGTTCTTGTTGGAACAAAACTTGGTAAGAAATACATTACTGATTTTCCTTTTAAGTATTAGATATGTTTGTTTGGCATGTTAAGTGGATATACAATATCACTTTAGATTACCAAAATTTGTTGACAATTCATATACATGCCTCTTTGACCAGAGAAGCTTTTTATTTTCATTTCTTCATGTGGTGTCTAGGGGACCAAACCGGGCTAGATTGGTACAAAGATTTTTTCGAAGAAATTTTAACTCATATTTTTACACTAATATTAAAAGAAATTTTTTAATTTGGGGTAGGCCAGGCCCTAGCATCCCCCCCAGCTCCGCTCATGTGTTTAAGCATGTTTTCAATCCAAGACCCGGAAGCCATGTTAGCTCTAAATCAAGGACATTTAAGATTAAAACTATCAGTTTAAGGATGGAATGACTGAAAACTTCCAATTTATGACTTAAAGTATCATACCAGTTTAAGGATGGAATGACTGAAAACTTCCAATTTATGACTTAAAGTATCATACCTTTTGATTTCCTTAATCTTAATTTGTTTTTATGTCAATTATCCTTCACCAAAAAATTTGAAGTTATAACAATTTAAAAAATACTTTCTCTGTCCCTCAAAACTTTGCCAAGTTTGACCGACAAAGGAAATTGTAAAATAAAAACTGTGTGATTGAGATTTGTGCAGAGGATAGAGAAATAGTAAGAACCACAATTTCATTGATGAAAAGGGAATGATGTGTCAAAAATTTTGAGACATCCAAAAAGGGAAAGATGTCAAAGCTATAAGGGACGGAGGGAGTTTTAAAAAAAATTAAAATGTAAAAAAAATTATGAGGCCCTTGATCTATTTTAGTGTACTTGAAGGAATCAAGCTTTACTCCATATTTTTGTTTGATCTTTGATTGCTTATTGTTGTTTACTATAATCCTACTATATATTGTACTCAGATCTTCGCGATGATAGCCAGTTCTTTGTAGACCATCCTGGTGCTGTCCCAATTACTACTGCTCAGGTAATGCCATTAAGTTGTATCAAATGGAGATGGAGATTATGTACATCTATGACCTCTAGTCATGTTATTTGGTTTCCATGTAGGGAGAAGAGCTCAGGAAATTGATTGATGCCCTAGCTTACATTGAATGTAGTTCAAAGACACAACAGGTTTGTTTTCTTCCGACGTTGTATTTTCACTGAAGCTGTTTGTCGACCATCATCACTGTAGCTTTGGTCGGATTATTCTTTGTTGCAGAATGTGAAAGCAGTGTTTGATGCTGCCATTAAAGTTGTGCTCCAACCACCCAGGCAGAAGAAAAAGAAGGGAAAATCTCATAAGGGCTGCTCCATTCTGTGATTCACATAAATAGGTCCATGAATGCCGCTATCATCTATATACCCCCAAGCCCCTTTTCATTTTCCTTTATTTCAGTGGAAGAAGGAGGTGCGTGCGTGCCAGATGAAAAGCTCGTATGCTGTAAGTGGCCTAAGTTTCAGCGGGGCTAGGTGTGGTGTATCCATGTTGCAGGGATGTTCGCTCTTTTAGGCCATTTTTATTTTCTTTGTTATGATTTAATGATAAACATTAAGGGTAGTGATGTCGCCTTTAAATTTGTTGCTTTCTAGCAGTCAATTTGTAGGTTATTGTCTGAACGGTTGGCCAAGTGTTGCATCAGCCCTATTTAGAAGTTGAGTCATTAGGCAGTATTTTGTTTACACTTTCTGGTATTAGGACATTTTCTTGGGGGGGTGGGGGGGTGGATAGTGAAAGTACTATGATGTGCATTGAGTTCCTGTATAAAGTATCAAATTCTTTCTTTTTATAATGATATAGGAGCCACCATCAACTGCATGAAAATAAACACTAGGTTGTGTTTACCTCTTGTAGTTCTAGATGGGAAAGGGCCACAAGTAAAGAAACCTACGGTAGACATAGCTGACTGGCTCGAATCAGCAAGGTCAATAGGGAGCTCAAAAGGTAATCAAGCTAACAAACTCACAGTTGCTAGCTTCATACCTGGCCAACGCGGTCAAGTACTTTAAGGTGCATTAAGAGCAGTTATCTTTGTAAAATATTCATCTAAATGTAGAAATAATAAGTAAATAAAAGGCAATATCGGCCCTTACCTCAATTCACTCACCTTCGAAATCCCCAAATCCCACAAGCCCTAGATTGAGAATGTAGAACTTACATAACTGTTTGTACAATTTACATTCTACTTTGCACTTTATTTTTAAGCAATCTGTTCTGTACCCTACACTATTCAACCTTGTTTCCTTACACCGTGTTCTATCTTGCTTTTGCTGCACACACTATTATGGATTGAGGACATATTCATTGGTACTCTGGTCCTATATTAAGTGCATTTTGCTGCCATTTAATGTTTTTTCTGATTTTGTGTATTTATTTGGTCTAGTGTGATCTCTGATATGTTCAAGTCGGTCTGGTCTGAGTTGAAAAAGTCCAAGTGATCAAGTCCTGAGGGTTGTTCTTGGAAATCTATGTTCAAGTCCTGACTTTTTTCTATCCAGCTGTCCGAACTCCGAACTTAACAAAGAACACTAGATTGAAATGGCAATCAACTACCATAGTACCACCCAAGATCTGAGAGCTCACATTATAGTTTCATTTTTTTACTGTTAGGTTATGATAGCGATAAACTACCCGATCATTTATGTGTGATGTGTGTGCGTGTTATATAAAGATTTGACTTTGCAAAAACACTACTTTCGCATATCAACAAAAGGACTGTCTTTTGGGCTGAGGACTGTGCCCACTTCTAATGAATTCATTTGAACCATAAAATCTTTCTCAAGACAAATATCACTAAACTCTTGACCCAAGTAAAGAATTTAAGTTGTTTATCACTTTGTAACCATCCAGACTTATGTTCTAAAGTTGTGCAAATCATTTTAAAGGCGCAAAGTGAACTCTTCACAATTTAAGTGTTTTTTTATCAAGACATTTGTTTTATGAAGTCACTAATCACACCAACTTAAAGAGGTAAAGACGGCTTTCTGGTCGCCATCATGGTTTGTACATTAAAAAGGGCCAAATTGCATTCAACATTTAAACCAATTGGGAAGTAGGAATGGAATTACTTATGCACATGGGATATAATTAACTTCATTCTTTTGTGAAATTAATCGATCAGTAATGATTACATTATACGATTAGTCGTACGTCAGGATTATCAATCTATGTATGTATCAGGATGATTTGGTTTCCAAGTGTTGCTTTAATTGCAGCAGCAGACTTGATGCATATGTGAGGATGACTTGTTCTCGAACGACCCTGTCATATATGAAAGCGGCTCCCCTGAAGTAAGGCAGAACCATCCACGCAACCAATACTAACTTCACATCATACCAAATTGGTATCCTGCATGCATGCATGTCCAGTTTCATTTATTAGTAAAAAACAAATCCCCAATAATTTGCTTTTCTTAGAATCCAAACTTTAGGTGATGAAAATGTCAATAAAATCAAACAACACCCTCACTCATAATTTCTAATTTTATACCAATATAAAGGGGTTTAATATAGACCTCATAATCTGACATTCCCTGATCTTAAAATGAATGGAAAGGAGGTATATAGTATACTACTTCTATTCTTGTTCTTATTTGTATAAAAAAAAAGATATTCAAACTGAAGTTAATTTTGATACTGCATGTTTATAAATTAAATTTAAGTAATAGTGTTATACAAATTAAGTATTTCGTAAACTTACCATTCAAGTATTGGTCGGAAGACCATTTCAATGAAAAATAGGAAAGCCAACATTATCCAATACGCGAGCCATTGCTCACTGTCCAGCTTCGACGACTTCTCCGTAGCAACAATGGATGCATATCTGATTTTTTTTTTTTTTTTTTTTGGGGGGGGGGGGGTACGTACGTGAAATGGATGTATGCGTTTTATATAAGGAGTAATTATTTAGTTAAATAATAACTGATAAATATGCAAGAAATAAACTGCATGATACTCAATATTTTTAGCTGATAATATAAGATTATAAGTCATACTCAATTTATCATAAAAAAATATACTACTCCGTATTCTTTTTTCCCTGCTTTAAGTTAATTTTCATTCCATTTAAGGAAAATACTTTGTGGCTAATATGGATTTTCTTTTCCCTAAATAAGCTTTTATTCAATAAATGGCGTGCAGGCCAAGTGTTATTGGAAAAAAATGGAGCATTGAATTTAAAGAGCTGATTTTAAAATAGCTAGCAAGAGGAGATTAAAATGTCAAAAATGAATTTACTTGGGGCATGCCACTTACAGAGGATAGATGAACATGGTAGCAGGCCTGCATTATGAATTGTAAACTGTGGAGTGAGAAATTGAGAAGAGGAAAATAACAATAGTTTTTTTAAACGCATGTTCACTTTAAATAATTATTAATTACCCTGCAAATGCATGAAGATGGGTGGTCAAAGCCCATAATAAGCCCATAGTATATGGAGATCAGAAGTAATGGAGGAGGTAATTAGAAAGACTTCCCCAAGAGAAATAAAAAATATTGGACTGTTACGATCGAATTTAATGATAGATGATTCAAAACAACTTTCTTTATATATATATAATGAGTACGTACGTACAAGAGGCGTGCATCAGATTCCAACTTGGCTCTCTAGCTTTTCTCACCTGCGTTCAAATCGATCTATATTCTTTCCTGGCCATTTATGTTACTTAACGTCTAATCTAGATTATTATAGGCACTAATAAATTAAATACGGAGCATGATGTTGTATTAATTAAGGGGTTAAGAACATAAATATGATTTGTAATTAAGATGGATCACGAAAGGTATTACCATTACTATTCCGTATAATATAATAATCTTCTGTTACGTTTCTGGTTTGTGGACTAGTGCTATTAATGTTCTTTTTCCTGGCGAACAAAAGTTGTTACATATACCGTATGTGCATCGATGAGGGTACATACGTGGCATACTAGTGAGTAGTGAAGTACTACTATACGTATAATATTACATCCATCTCGGTGGACTTTACCAACTTCAAGCCAAGTGATAAATCAGACAAGTAAAATTAGTTACTTTAATGGGTAGGGGCGTGTCGGCCCTTACCCGTTTGTCAGCGGTAACTCTGTAGATATATATGTATATTTGTATGTAGAGCCCCGTCTCAAAAGAAATGAATATGTATTATATACTAACTTAATAACCAAACAATAGCAGGAGCCCTTCAGCTTTGGTGGGTCGATTCCCCCACCCTTTTCTAATTAACATGTTAATTAACTTCTCTTTGCTACTACGGATAGTTTTAATTTTTTCCCTGCCGCCCTAGATTAATTTTGCTTTTATTTTACATTTTTATTTTTCCAATGCAAAATAATTATCCTTTTTTACTGAATATTGACATGTTATTCACATTATTTTCTTTAGTTCTATGACGTGAAAAATGACCTTTTATCATTTCTTCCTTCCTCGAACATTGAACTATATCATTTTTAAACTAATGGTGATAAATTGTGGAAGTGTGAGAAAACTATGAAACTACGATAAAAAATAAGTAGTAGCACTTGATAATCAATCATTGTCATATTTGTTGACCCACAGATGCATTCGAGACAATTATTTTTTAATTAACTTTAAATTCGGTAAATTGAACTTATAAAGTCAAATAAATTCGTAGTAACTTTTATCAAAAGTATAGCTTTATGTGATAAATCGATTAAGCATAAACAAGTACCCAAATCGATTTTATACTAGTATAAAATCATATGCGAATAAAACTTGATATCATATGCGTAGTATATTATTTTTCGTTGTACCCAAAAAATACATTATCCTCCGTTCTTTAATAGTTACAACAATTTGACTTTCACGTTTGCAAACGCAACTTTGACGATAAATATATTTAATTATGTATTAGTTAACATTATAAAAGTTAATATCTTGAAAATTCACATTAATAGAATTCGCATTATAAACATTAACAACATTTCATACATAATAATTTGATTATATATTTTAGTAGATAATCGTAATCAAAGTAAGGTATGTGAATAGTGCAAAAAGCACAATGTTGCAACCATTAAAGAACGGAAGAAGTATGTAATATATTTTTTATTTTTAGTGAGTCATAAACGCATTTAAGACACTTTTCCGGTTTAATAATTCGTTAAATGTAGCTTATAAAGTAAAATATACGTAGTATAACTTTTACAATATTAAAATTACTTTGCAGTTTTCGGCCGAAAAAACACTTCTCACTTGATATGCTCCCTAATATAATACGCGTGTCAGCGTGCGTATGTAAACATAATGCTTCTCAATAGTTCTAACACAAATAGGACTAGGATCCTGACCAGCCAGTCCCATTCCCAAAATGTGGGCTTGGGATTGAGACCATTTCCCGCGGTCTGGTCTCAATCCCGGTCCCAGCCTGTGGCTATAAGTGAAATAGTTTACTTGTATGTGGTAAAAAAGAATCAAGATAACAGAAGTAGGGAAGACATCCATGATCCATCTGCGCGAAAAGTGTCGGTACGTTTTTGAAAGTATTGAAAATGTTAAACCTAGCAATCCCCTAGCATCATAGAAGATATCCAATCAATTAAATGCTTACTTTATCAACCTGGGCATTTCGACTATAAAACAATTTGTTGAGTATTTTCCTAATATTTTCCTTGCACCTACTACACGCCATGTCCTTTCATCATACTGATCACTGATTGTAATACACATGAAAAAATTTGTTCTATATGTTAATTCACAATGTCACTTTTGAGTCTAAATCTCTAAACCAGAACAAAAGTAGAAAAAAAGGCTGGGAATGAGGGCTAGGAAAAAACTAGAATGATGCTCAATGCCTAACCTAGAAAATCTGCATGTACGCAAGACCTTGGCAAAAATAGGGAATACTCAAGACACTGTAGGCAGGCAGGGCAGCTTTTTAGATGGTGATTCATTGAGGAGGTGAATCAAGATTTGATTGCCTCGTATTTTTCACCAACAGCTCCACCTTTATCCTTCTGGAACTGGATATATCGCAGCGTGCTTGCAAAGAAAGCATCTGCAGACTGATCTGATGATGATGACAATGGTGTGTTTTCACTATGCATTTCATTTGTAATCAGTTCAATCAGGCTCTGGACAAGAGCCACTGTGACCTCCGGGACCCCCTTCTCAAAGAAATATAGATACCTAATAATAATATCAAACATACACACTTCAGTCAACCCATTTAAATATTTGTTAACTTACAGGAATGAATGTGCATGTTCTCGTACTTGTTCAGGATTTCAATGAACAGTGTCACTGATCCACTGCTGCCTCGGGATGCACTTGACATTTGCTGAGCAGCATTTGCAATCCGTAAGGCACGCTTCAAGCAAAGCAGGACCCTAGCAAGCCACACACAAAAAAATATTATGTGGAAAGTGAAAAAATTTAATCTGAAAAGATATTTGTAGCGTTCTTAGAGGGGGCCTTTTTTTACGGAGTATGATATAGCTAACCCCATGCATTGCCCATTTATCCTTTAAAACGCACCACCACAAATCTGCAACTTATATAGCCTAATAATAGAATCCAAATATGTCGAAATGATTGGTTTGAAAAGCTCTGATGATTGAATGGCAAGATACCCAAAACGTGTTCCAAAAAGAAAAGAAAAGAAAAGAAAAGAAAAGAAAAGAAAAGAAAAGAAAAGAAAAGAAAAGAAAAGAAAAGAAAAGAAAAGAAAAGAAAAGAAAAGAAAAGAAAAGAAAAGAAAAGAAAAGAAAAGAAAAGAAAAGAAAAGAAAAGAAAAGAAAAGAAAAGAAAAGAAAAGAAAAGAAAAGAAAAGAAAAGAAAAGAAAAGAAAAGAAAAGAAAAGAAAAACAAAACAAAACATGACAAGTGTGATGGTGATCAGTTTTTTTTGTTTCTTAAAAAAAAAAAAAAAAAAAAAAAAAAAAAAAAAAAAAAAAAAAACTGGAAAACTGTATTGATGATGAAGAAGAACAGTAATCGGTACACAGGCCTAAGCCCCCAAAAGCCGAAGCTCCCAAAGAAAGAGATTATTAGTCTCAGTCTTCCCAAGTCCCAGAATTAAACAATCCAAAAGCCTCCTCACTATCCCCCAGCTTCTTTCTATTTATACTAAACTTATACATTTTATTATTATTATACTCTATTGGGCCGGGGCCCTAACAATTGGGCCGGGTCCCTAACAGGCTCAGGAGGAGGAGGAGGAGGTTGGGCTTGTTTCGGGAAAATCTGCTAACATTTTTGGAAACCACAAACCGATTCCTGATGCTGATAAGTCTAGTTGCGTAAAGGAGATGAACTGGATGAATGTTTTAAAATCTGAAATGATATACTGTCATTCATTCAACACTTACTTGGAAGGGCTGAAATCATTGAACAAGTTTGACAGTTTCAGATGTGAGGGTATTACTTCTATGATGGATAATGAAAATGGTGTTGGCAGACTTGAGTTGGTATTCTCGGGCACTAAATGTTGTTCGGTTTTGGTGTTTCATCACACTGGTAAAGAGGTTCAAAGCATGAACAGAAATTCTACCAAGGGTGTAGGTGATACACTTCAGGAAGACAAGGCAATACTTGTGGCTATTGAAGGTTTAGTAGCTAGTGAAGAAAATGAAAAGGTAAAATTAGAACAGGGTTGGAAAATGGCCAGGTCGTTTAATGGTAATGGTACTGTCTTCCTGCAAGGAAACCAATTTAGGAAGTTTTACATGGAAGATATGCTTTCTTGTTCCTTAATTAAGGGAACTGCAGCCGGAAGCTACATAGAGGAGTTTGCATCCAGTACAATTTTAGTCTCAGGACATAGAAATCATGAAGAACTGCAGAAAAGTGAAGAAATAATTCTTGATGTGGAGTGCGGGAAGGGGACTGAACCAAATGAAGATTCACTGACTGTTGCTAGATATTGGGAAGGAAGAGGAACAAGGAAGAGGAAGAGGAAGCAGAAGATTGTGGCTGTTTCCTATCACCCACCTTGAGGGCAAGGTGGTTGTTTAGGGGGGGAGATTTGTTAGGGACCCGGCCCAATTGTTAGGGGCCCGGCCCAATAGAGTATAATAATAATAAAATGTATAAGTTTAGTATAAATAGAAAGAAGCTGGGGGATAGTGAGGAGGCTTTTGGATTGTTTAATTCTGGGACTTGGGAAGACTGAGACTAATAATCTCTTTCTTTGGGAGCTTCGGCTTTTGGGGGCTTAGGCCTGTGTACCGATTACTGTTCTTCTTCATCATCAATACAGTTTTCCAGTTTGTTTCTTGATAATTCTGTATATTTCCTGGAGGTTTCTATCATAAAAACATATTAAAAATCAGGCCCATCAAGGAACAAGTATAGTTATGTCTAGGCTCAAACCCACTCTTTGTTTTTGGCCCAAATTATCACCCCAAAGCAATCTACTCAAATGAACCAATACTCCATAGTGCTCTAACGAATTCAAAAATTCATATTTACAATATTTGTACGATTATGCTTTTGTTTTGGAGAAATGAAAAAATAATACTGGACATTTAGTTTCCTATGGTTACTGAAGGACTACCCACCT